AAACACCTTCTTTATGGAGTTTTCCCATATTCCCTAGATGTTTATGTATTGTTTCATGAGAGACATGCAATTTCAGGACCATTTCATGAGCGTGTTGCTTTGGGTTAGACTCAACAAGCGTCTTCAGCCATCACAATTTTTAAGGCTAAAGTCACCTGAACGAAATTTGCTGAACCATTGTTGACCCTTACGAACTTTCAAAACATTTCCATAAACTTCTTTGATATTCTTTGTGACTACAGAGGCGTTGTTTCCCTTCTTGTATTCAAAGAGCATTACATGTCGAATGTGTGTTTTGTCGTGTGCCATCACTATAAGGGATTAGAGTAATACTAAACTTTAAACATTATATAGGAGGCGGTTCGTTTAACTATTATAGGTGATGTACGTTTTTTGGGGGTGGTCAATGAAAGTGTTCTAAAACGCGACATTAATTTCTTCATTCTTGAAGACCTAATAATAAACAACTTTGAAAAAATAAAGTTGGAAGTTTAGGACGATATAGTAAAAAGTAGTGACATCAAAATGTTTATTAATTGTTTCACCATAATCGTGCAAAGTCACGAGTATCTCTTACTTTCATCATGTCTGCAAAGATTTAGCATCAACATTACATCCTATCGTTATGATGTCTACAGTGGAAATATTTGACACAACTATCACGTATTACCGATGTCGGTACAGGAGAGTATAATACTTTACCTTTACGGTGTCTGAAGTAGAAAGACGTTACATTATTACGATATCTCACTTTCAACAAATCTACAGTATAACGATCCCGAAAAGCTGTAACATTATTAGTAATATCTAACCTTTAATATTTCATCACCAGAAGAAAGTGGTATTTCTTTTATGTCTGGAAACTCAGGCAAAACTGTCCCAGCCCTCGATCGTGGAGGATACAGCTGTACCTAGAAAAGATTCGTTAACATATACTTCAAATGCTTTCTGGTTTGAGAATACGACTAAACATATACATACACTAGAGATGATTTAATAAGATATGTTATCTAGAGAAGTTTTATTAATATACTTCAAATGCTTTCTGGTTTGAGAATACAGCTATACCCGGATATTTGTTAATAAATTTTAAACTGAGAAGCATAATAAGATCATCGGCAAACAGATAACACTGAAATCGTTTTAAAATGTTGATTTTGACAATGCAGTTCGTTAAGAAGGAAACAAAACACGTTTATATAGAATTTAAGGCTTACCTGTCTGTAAGGTTCTCTTCGGCTATCGGGACCACTGTAATAATAGTTAGTACGTTTTTATCAGCACATCCTATGTATTTTTTATAGTTCTACTAACAACTAAGAATAAATACAGTAAAATTGATTGGTAAAACAAAACAACTTTTAAATAAATATATGTAGAAACCATAAGAATTATTTTGCCAAGCATATAGCAGTAGTTTTGGCGCATTTTCTGGAATTTTACGAACAATTTATTTTTGTTTCACGATGTATACATGTCTAGTTATTTCTACATTGATGTTATATATTTCCTCAAATAATAGGCGTCGCTAGGCGCTGGCACACAGGGCCCGTAACTCGATTCTACTTGACAGTGCCCCGAATCCCCAGTTGATGTTTTGAAAAACCAGAATAGAAAACCATGATCGATATCATACTGGAACGCCGAAAATTTCCGCGCCTATGGGCCCGAGCCCAGAATCTTTTAAGAACCTAGCGACGCCTCTGCCCCAAATAGTAAAATAAGTATAATATTGGAGGAAATCTTACTTCTCAGCTTAAGATTCACAAGAAATAAATATTGTATATCACAAAACACTTTATAACCAGCGCTCGAACTGGAGAGTAACGCGGAGGGTACGCGTATCCCCACTTCTCCAATTTGGCATTTTGCGTACCCCCCACTTCTTGTGAAAAACGTTATCACCATTTTATGCGCAAATTTACCCCCTCTTCTGAATTCCACTTGAAGCAATGCTTATAACTAATACTTTGTTAATTTTCTCAATTAAGTACATGGGTATTACTTGGCGTGTAAGGGGGTTTGAGAGATCAAAGGATATAAATTATTTAGTAAATAATTGTACATGCCGCAAAAACACTGATATTTTGTTTTCTAATAAACATTCAAATTCGATGCTTTTGAAGTTTACATAAAATACTTCTTTCTTTAATCGTCATAGTTGAAACCTATGGACAAAGAAGTTAGAAATTAAATAGATGTAAGAAGTTTTCAAAACTGAGCAGGCTAGTGTGATATTTTCTTGTACACTGCGGCCTAAAAGAAAATAAGTCTTATAACATTTATTAACAATGTCTTTTGTTGAGAGAGGTATATTATAATCAGTTGTGTTTGTCTTAATACAATAGTACTAGGCAATAACCACTTCATTCTTTATTCAGACTTTTAGGGTTTTTCACATAACGTCCGCCATATCCGCTCAACACCAGAGTTCGTTAGGCCTGTTAGGATACAACATACATAATAATATTAAAATAATAAAACCGTAAATGGCTTATATGAATAGTATGCCGGCCACTGTTATGTTTTTGTCTTTCAGCCAACCTGAAGAGTTGTGATACTGAATGAAACGTGTCGTTAGCACAGAATATGGCGGACATTATGGGGTTGATATACTATTACACACTCTTATACTCGGAAAACCTCTGAGGGACCGCATAATGAATGTAGTTGTTTAAAAATACACTAAGCCTAATGCTTTTGTCCTGTGACAAATATAATTGCTTATAACATTTTTGTTATTAGTTGCTAAGGTATTTAGCGGTTAAATATTAAACTGTAAACATAATATATTAAAGTTCTGCTTATCTTCACAGGGGGATGAACCGAGTTTAATTCTTTATAGGCCTCTCAAAATTGTTTGCGTTTAAAAAGCATGAAAAGTAATTTTTGCAAGATATGCTTTATTAGCTAATTTTAATAAATTGAAAGAAGCAATCAACTGATGAAATATAGCTTTGCTACAGAGAATTTGGAGGACAAAAATAACATTTGAGGTATTTCAAATTTTTGCACATGTGATTATCGTAATGTAAAAATGTACGTCATTTAACCAATATTCACATTATATATCATTGTATTTTTAAATGATAGAAACAAATTATCTTTAAAACGCGAATTGTCGAGGACAGATTATAGAGATTAAAAATGTTGTAACAAAGAAATACACTTTGAGTGTAACTTTTCAAGTTAGCTTTATCAGGTATCATCACTAATTAAACCTACACCACTTACATTTTTCATATCTATTATACAGGATTATTAAAACAAAACTAGCTACGACCCGCGAAACATTTGTGGTAGCTTTCACGCCATTTGCTTGAATTTTCCTTATTATTTTCACGCACGCCTTTTAAGCTATAATTTCTTGCAGGCAATATTTGCTAGATCGTTAAATCCTGGTCTATTTGGAAAAGGTTTACGTGGTCAGACAAATAACCTCACGTAGACGTAATTTTATTTAATAAAATTACACGCGCTTTATTTAACAAAACTACACGTAAAGTAAACAATAATGGTATCCATATTAGATTACAGAGTATGAAACAGCTATGAGCGTTCAGTGTATGACACGATTTTACAAGTTGAGACAAAGAAACTCACAAAAACGAAGAATAAAACTCGTAGTGAGGAAAAAGTAGCTAAAAAGTGTTTATAGCAGTCTATAAAACGAACTGAAGCTATATTATTACAAAGAAAAGTAAAGTTAAAGTTGTAATGATTGCAAACTTGGCTGAATATGCAGAAACGTCTGAATGCATGTTCGCAAAGTGATAAGCATATGGTTTTGAACGAACTGCGCATGCGTATTTTAGATCTAAATAAGTCTAGAAATTACATAGAAACTGTATTTAGTGTAATGTTAATTTTTAAAGGAAATTCCACGTGAGTTAAATGCTTTTTTGTGTGAAATACTTTGCAAATAAAAAAAGCTAAAGTTGAAATCGAAGCAAATCGTCACGTGATGACAACGATACTGTGCCATCGTGTACCATACTCATTTGCATTGCAAAGCTTGACTAAGCAAAAATCATGTAAGGTGATTCAGAATTGAAAAGCCAATATGCAATCCAGACTCCTCGGACAAAGACCATTCTAATTATATGAAAATTGTAGTGTTTGATCGAGAAACGTGCGAGAAAAGTTCCGGACAGACAAACGCAAGCGTATAATTTATATAGATATACTCGTGTCATGCAGAAATGGATGCTCGTATAGATGCTTAAGGAGGAGGCAACTTCAAACCGCAAATTCTAAATAAATATATTTCCCTCTGACATTTTCAACATTCGAGTAACTCATACGTACGAAACACACTAAATAAAAGAAAACATTTCAATATCGCTGACCAGGCCAGTAACTGAAGAGCGTACATACCTGATCTAAATTTGATTTGGTAGGAAGATAGGTCTTCATTGTGCTTTGACATTGTCCACATCTTTTTTTATTAGCTCGCCCCGATTATTGATTTTCCTGCACACGTTTTCGCTAATACAATCATAATTGCTTTGTCGACCCGCCTTTGAAAGCAACACGGGCGGTACAAGTTCCCCACGAGCTGCGTTCGAGATATGCACGCGTCTACATGTGACACAGTTGACTTGATTGAACCAATCGCTATCCTCAGCATGAACGTATTGAACAAAACGCGAATTCAAACAATATTAAAGATGTCAAGCTTCATCTGTCAGAATGGTAACCAACAGTACGGTATGTTTTTCTTGTTCTTATATCTTGTAAACAACAATGCAACTAAAACATCAATACACTATATCTGAAAAAAATAACCCAATATACTAGGAACGTTTCTAGATGAAAGCGTATTAAATCTAATATAGTAAAAGGTATTACAACAGATATTTCACAAACTTAAAAATACATATACATTTTAGAATAAACAGTTGTTCTAAAGCTCCGAGATAGTGAAAAATGCATATACACTTGAAAATAAAAAGCTATTCTAAAGCTACATTTTATTTTCCAGAGCAACGAGCTCTCGGTGATAATGTAATAAATAATTTGAGAATCTAATCTTTGCAAACGTTTAAAATTACAGGAAATTCCAGAGGACGTTCGTTGTCATAAGACCAAAGTCGCAGTTGATAAAAGATTAAACAGTTTGGAAATCAAACGTCAAATAATGTATAAAAAATACATCACAATGTAAATGGTATATTAATATATAAAACAGAAGAATTTATTTACTTAAAATCACGGGAAAAGAAAAATACTTACGAACTGGCGGATTTTTTCGAATAGGATAGCTGGAAATAAGGAGACGTCTCCCGTATAGCGATTCCGTAATAATGATAGCTGGTACAATACAGAAAATCACGTAAGAAATGTAATGAGAAATAAAATTCCAGTTTTAAGAAGTATTCCGAAATTGAACTTGTATAACCAACACTATTGTGCAATTTAAATAAAAGCGGTTAACTTCAAACTAAATTACAAGGGATTTATTTTGATTAATTCTGTTGTCGGTTTTACAGTAGTGATCATAAGAAGAAACATTAACTTATACGCTTATTCACATCGACGAGGCCTTAAGTTAAATCACAGAAAATATACAAAATCAAGGAAATATTTTATTTGGCAGGTTCTACAAAATGTATCATACGTTACGAACATTTACGTATACATACATTACATACACGGAACGCTGTTATTCTGGCCTGATTATTTGAAGTACTATAAGCATATATATATATGTATGTGTACACTTTACCACATATATGCTTCAGTCTACCTAAGTGTAAACTGGGTACCAGATAATAGCCGGATGGGAGGGGAGGAGGCTAACCTGTGAGTGACTGGTATCCCGACCATGGGTAATGTGTCACAATTGTTAAGCGCTTGTGTGACTGTAACTGGAGTTGAGCACTGACCCTGCATTCCTTTCAGACACGGATAGATTATTTGACACACACACATATATATATATTTGTGTGTGTGTGTGTGAGTTTACAAATCCATACAACGAAGCCAAAAAAATGGCTTCGTAATACAGGACACGCAAATAAAACTATGATACAAACTGTAGAGTAGCAATGGAAGATTGTATTTTAGTAACACAGATATCTGAAGAATTAAGACAGAAGCTATAGGAATATAAGACTTAACCTCTGTCTGCAAACCTCACTTATAAAAGTAGAAGCTTATATAGATATTCAAGCATACAATGTCTCATACCGAAGTTATGATTCATCGTCTTCAATCACCTGCCCAAAGAGGTTAATATGTTAAAGGTCACTATGAGTCTTCAGACCATCGATAACTTGGTTTATCAAAGAAGTAGCAAGGTGTTTGATGGTTTCTGAAGAAACACCTGCACTTCTTTTTAGAATATGAATTATGGTTTATGAAACTGTAATAAGGGTTCGACGGGATTGGAAGTTATCTATGATGATGAACAAATTCTTCTTCATACTGAAAAACAAGTTTGTAGTATTGGGTGGTGTGTTCTCACTTCGAAATACACCACCATTCACTGAATCAAAGTGTTGTACCATATGTTTTAAAGCTTGTCTCGTCGGGTGTTGTTTTAGCTGTTATCTTGCCTTTCGGTTCAGTGATTGGACAAATTCTATACGAATGAAATGAGACCGCCTCCATAGTGAACCGTCTGCATGCACTTTTACAGCTAAAAACTGACCGCTCTTATTTCTTGCAAACACAAAGATATCGGCGCTGTACCAAAGTACATTTTCTAAGACATTAGATGCTGTTATTGAACTTTAAACTTATTCTGGGTGTTGTTGTCCTTTCACAGTTTCAATCGCACGATCCACTCTTGCTGCTACTGTTCCTTGCTGTTCTTGAGGTTTTACCAACTGCAGTCCATTCCGACATGACATTGAACACTGTAAACCATTTGTGTAAACCCTTGATTATAGATGAGCTCCCTCTGTCATGCCCCTTTTGAAGTCTGTTAGATTCCTATTGACTTCTAATGCTTGGAGACGGCTTGAATGGATAATGAAGAAAAGCTTTAACATAAGTTTAACATAACAACAAATGTACAACGTTTTGACAAGGTTCTGTCATCGTCAGGTACCATCCTCTTGACTTAGTTCTCAATGCGCAGGCTACTCTATAAAAAAGGATTCAGAAGCCTATTGAAACTAGCATTTTTTTAGTTTTTTTCATGTATATGTTTTATCTATCAGTATACACCAGAAATTATATTTTTGGATTGTGTGTGTGTGTGTGTGCGTGTGTGCAGAAAACAGCAAAACGCTCATACAGAAGAAAAACAGAGAAGAAAGTTAATATTGACATAATTGATAACCTGGCATGACAAGAACAGTATTCTCTTAGTTATGTGTTTCTTGTCACTGAAATCATACACACCTAAATATGGAAAGCAAACTACAGATCCTGCGTGTACAAACCAGCAAAAGTAACAGCAATGATGGAGAAGTGTAATTCAGAACAATTCAAGAAAGAAATTTTTCCGAAGAAATCTGAAACTCCATTCAATAGAACAATGCCCATCATTAATTGTTATCAGTAATTAAGTGCAAATACATTCCGTCTGCTGTTACTGGTATTATGTAAAGTCGAATATAAAAACATTACAGTTTTATAAACAGGATATAGAGAAAGTTTAGTCGCCCATGAGGTTTTTTTTAATGTTGTACTTCTCGGAAAAATTAAATATAAAATCGATCTTGATTGAGTCATTTAATAGGTAGCAGTTTATTTTAGTGTGACGTACGCTAAGTTAGACGACTTTGGTCATCATTTCAGTACGCTTACGACACGTCAAATTTATTCAAGCGTAAGTTTGGCGAAACGTTCTCCCTTGCAGACTGTACATTATGAAACATAGTCACTTTTAAAAACACTTCCAATGAATAATATACTCTTGAGCCTCTTAAAATCAGCTATGTTTCCGAATGCAGAAGTGGCAGAACAGGAGGGCACATGTCCTCACTTTGACTCTGTAACGAAGTGTCCCTTTGAATGTGGAATATGGACTCGTGTAAGATTACCATGGAAGTAGCTGTTTCACCTTTAAGTTCAAGGGACAGGAGGACACTGGGGGCACGTGTCCACACTTTGACTCTGTAGCGAAGTGTCCCTTTGAATGTGGAATATAGACTCGTGTAAAATTACCATGGAAGAGGTTTCACCTTTGAATTCAAGGGACAGGAGGACACTGGGGGCACGTGCCCACATTTTGACGTTGTAGCGAATATGGTGCCCCAACCATCGGTGCTCCTCAAATTTATATTTGTTCCTCCACCTACAGTTAGCATCAAATTACGTGACATAATAGATATGGACTCATTATCACTTTCTCATCTAGGTTTAGTATCTAATTACTTGATATAATAGATATAGACTCGTTATCACTTCCTCAGTTAAGGTTAGTATCTAGTTACCTGATATAACAGTTATAGACTCATTATCGATTCCTCAGCTAAGGTGAGTATTTAATTACCTGATATAATAGATGTAGACTCGTTATCACTTCCTCAGTTAAGGTTAGTATCTAGTTACCTGATATAATAGATGTAGACTCGTTATCACTTCCTCAGTTAAGGTTAGTATCTAGTTACCTGATATAACAGTTATAGACTCATTATCAATTCCTCAGCTAAGGTGAGTATTTAATTACTTGATATAATAGATATAGACTCGTTATCACGTCGTCACCTAAGGTTAGTATCTATCTGATAGATATAATAGCTTTAGACTCGTTATTACCTCTTCAGCTAGGGTTAGTATCTAACTGATTGATATAACAGCTATAAACTCATTATTACTTCTTCAGTTAGTGTTAGTATCTAATTACTTGATATATTAGCTATAGACTAGTTATTAGTTCCATAGCTAAGGTTAGTATCTAACTGATTGGTATAATAGCTATAGAGTCATTATTACTTCCCCCAGAAACTTATTACTACACATCGAACAGAACATATATCACAAAATAATTAAATAAATATATATATATATATGTTTTAATTACATAAAAATCATTCCCATATCATTGGCGCAGTAATAAAAACAATAATCTGAAAATAACAAAAAGTAGAAAATTTAACATTGTAGTATGATCTTGTCGCTCATAACTCAAAGACTTGGGATCTGCAAGGTTGTTGTGTTTTTCGTTGCTTTTGTCTTGCTTCAAAATATAATAGCCACTGATATCATTATGCCATAAAGATATAATGTATTTTTTTATAGGTGGTCAATTATTTAATGGCAAATTATATAATCTACGTACATTATGAATTTTTTTTAAAACATGTAAGTTTATAGTAATACCACAAATCTTAGGAATAAAAGATATCTGATATAAATGGCAGTGATGTAAAAATCGTAAAGATGGGTCCATTTTTTATCCAAAAAATCTTGGTAACATAATAGTATATATATGAAAAAAAAATCTAATGCTTGCATTTCTAATGGTGTTGAAATAAATTGTATAATTAAATGTTAGTCGTTCCCAAACTTAGGTGCATTTGACAATAAAAACAAAGGTTTTATATAATCACAAAAACATACACAAATAATTTGGGGCCTGGCATAACCTAATAGTTAAAACGCTTGACTCGCAATTTGCGAGTCGCGGGACCGAAACCCTTCGTTGAATATGCTCAATCCTTCAGCCGTAGGGGTTTTATTATGTGGTTGTCAATCCCACTATTCTTTGGTAAAGAGTAGTTCAAGAGCTTATAGTAGGTGATGATGACTAGCTGTCTTTCATTTAGTCTATATCTCCAAAATTACGGACAGTTTGAGCGAAATTCAACAAACTAAACAAAATAAAAATAACTTAAATCAACTTACCGTGATTGGCCCCTAGTGCCTAGCCGCCTAGTGGTGAGTTGAGAAAACTGCTGACGGATAATCTAAGGAGTAAAAATATTCAGAACTAGTTTAAGAAAAAGAAATGTCACTTTAGGAGTTGCGGAAAAACTATATTTTAAAACTTACATACTTGAAAACTGATAGAACACAAAGGTGCATTTTATTAGTTAATTTGTTCCGAAAGTTTTATTTTTGTAAACAGTTATTTCTATAGTTATGTCATCTCACATAAGACAAATTACTACCGTATTGCTGTTCAGTTCTTAACACAGATATTTCAGCAGACGGTCAACCCCCTGGTGGAAGCATTTACTTCCGTAATCATCGAATGCAGAACTTACTAAAAATTACCCTTTTAAAGACATATGATCTTAAACTTATTTAGGGACAGTTATTTGTTTACTATTAACTGTTCAATGTAAAACATGAAATGTGACTCAAAATAAAAATGCAGCAACAAAGACAAAACAAATAATATTAATGTACAAAAGGTTTGGTTTGAATTTAGCGCAAGGATATACGAGGGCTATCTGCGCTAGCCGTCCCCAATTTAGCAGTGTAAGTCAGCTAGTCATCACCAACTCTTGGGCTACTCTTTTACTAAAGAATAGTGGGATTGACCGTAACTTATAACGCTGAAAGGGTGTGCATGTTTAGTGGAACGAGGATTCGAACCAACGACCCTCAGATTGCGGGTCGAGCGTCCTAGCTACCTGGCCGTGTACAAAACCTAATGTTGGAATTATAATACATTTGGTCTGTGTTATATTTAAAATAATTTTTGTCAAAAATTTGGATTCGCTATAGCTATCAACACTTTCTCTTCTACTGATGTTAACTTTATTACTCTATTCTGATCTTTCATAAAACAAACACGTGTACAGTAATGGAAATAATTATGGAAACATAAATGCGATACGCATAGTATAGGAGCCACAAACAACGGTCCACGGTGGGACAGTGGCAAGTTTACGGATTTACAACGCTAAAATCCTGGTTTCGATCCCCCGCGGTGGACACGGAAAATAGCCCAATGTGACTTTACTCTAAAACAAACTAACAAAAACAAGTAGAGGACGATTTAACCAATGGTCAAAAATATTATCACAGAAAAAAACAAAGAGAATATGTTAGAAAAGATTTTAGTATTTTGTATTTTCCTTACAGACAATATTACACTTTATTTTCATACTGCCGTACAGTTTGTTCATGTACGGTTGAGAAATGTCGTTATAAATGTTCTCTATTACTTACCACAATTCAGCCAAGTTATTTGGTCGCCTTTACATTCTCGGTTTATACATAAGCCCATACAGCCCTAAGAATGTTCGTAACATGACTTCATGTAAGTCAAGCCTTTGTTGCAAGTGTTTCATTGATTTACTTTTTCCGTCTTGCCTGGGATCATTATATTGCTGGAAAACGAATCTTCACTCGACATGTTGCGTTCCTGAGGGAATGGCATAATGGACCAGAATCTACCTGTACTTGTCAGCAGTCAAGATGCCACAAGTTCGGTTTTGATTACTGACACTACTGGCTGAGATGTAGTCCAAAACGTGTACTAATCCGCACCATACTTCACTGTACATGTTTTACGTTTACTATGATACTGTCACCAAACAATTCGAACTTGGATTCTCTTATAAAGAGCATACGTATCCAATTCTGCTCACTTCACTGTTTGTGGTCCAATTCCCATTTCAACCTTTTAATTGGGTTATTACTTCTTAGCAGTGATTTTTGAGAAAGCTACACGTTCATTGAGCCCACTCAGTGCTTATGTGTATCTTAGTGTTCTCAAGGTAACATTCATAGCTGTATTTACATCGGTGTTACTGGCAAGTTCATTATTTGATAAAGAACATACCATGAAGTAGTCGACATTAATTTTAGAGAATTTCGTTTTTTTTCCTCAAACAGTTCTATTCTTATCAGTGCCAGTTTCAGATGCCTTCTTCAAAGTCTCGCATACAGAAACATGGAGTCTTGCAGAAATTTTCCTCGAGTTAACACTTTGAATTCAACATGCTTATCATACCGTGTTTCAGTCCTACGATCCATGACTGGAATTACACTACTACTACTGGGCATGTTATAAGAGTTATGCTGGTAAAATATTTATCGTTAGATGACAACCATTTACTACGTGAACTATGAGGACGTGACTGCACGCTGGTATAGTTCTATTTTTACATGACAAACGAATGGAAATATCGTAATATTTGTTTCTTATACTCTCTTTCCTCACCATTTCTACTGTAAAAACTGAATGGAAGACAAGCTATAAGAACGATATGATTGAAATTCACACTTCGTATCACTAGATGTCATGTGAGACATTACGATTTATATATTGGGTATCAACATAACAAATTGTTATCTATATATCAGGAAAATCGTAACAATACCTTTCCAAAGCTGGCAGCGTTCACCGGTTGCATGTTGTTTTTACTACAAAAGTCTACATAGTGGGAATACAGAGTACTGCGAGGAATACACACACTTTCAGCGATCTCGTAATTTTCTTCCAACCTGCCAACACATAAAGAACTAATTCAGTGTATAATAGTCGTGATAACTTCCGTAACCATTTCGTTCTATAATATCAAAAACTTTTCATTTGGTGTAACTGCTTTAACGGCATAATTGCTATTAATAAGTGCGTTACAGCCACGTCATTCTTGCATCGCAATTAATAAGCATTTGGTCATTCATTGCCCATACACTACTAGTGGATCGTACAATAAGTTTGTTTGGTGGTGTTTTGTTTTTGAACTTCGCGCAAAGCTACACGAAGGCTATCTGCGCTAGCCGTCCCTAATGTAGCAGTGAAAGACTAGAAGGAAGGCAGCTAGTCATCACCACCCACCGCTAATTCTTGGGCTACTCTTTTAACAAATAGTAGTGGGATTGACAGTCACATTATAACGCCCCCACGGCTGAAAGGGATTCGAACCCGCGATCCGCAGATTGCGGGTCGAGCTCCCTAAACACCTGGCCATGCCGGGCCCGTACAATAAGACTCAGAGATTCATCCGAACTGTGAAAAGGTGATTTCCGATTAATTCAGTTATTTCAACAAAGTCTACATAGCTGTGTTTCGAAAGAAGCGGCCTCAGCCCATGACTCAGCGCTAAGCTTGAAAGTTTACATTGCAAAAAATTCTGCGTTTAATTCCTCCGTGGGCATAAGGCAGCTAGTCCATTGCGCAGCTTTTCGCTTAAGAAAAAGTAAACAAACGAAACAGTAAGTAACTGAATTGATTTCTTTTTTTGATTTGATGCTAAATCACTCTATCACAGCTTCCTTTTTTGATTAAAACGTTCATTTGTTGTTTATATGACATTTACAAGGGAAGAACAATTTATCAAATGGAGTATAGTTTATTCATAATTAATTAATTGAAATCGCGAGAATCCTCCACCGTAATAAAGCTAGAACTTTATGCTGACTTTCAGTATCTTTCAAGAGTACAGTTTTAGTGTAGTTTGACTGTCAAGAGTACACCTTTAATGTAGTTTGACTGTCAAGAGTACAGTTTGTGTGTAGCTTGACAGTCAAGAGTACAGCTTTAATTTGGTTCGACAGTCAAGAGTACAGTTTTAGTGTAGTTTGACAGTCAAGTGTATAGCTTTAGTTTGTTTAGATAGTCAAGAGTACAGCTTTACTTTGGTTTGACAGTAAAGACTACAGCTTTAGTGTAATTTCATAGTTAAGAGTACATCTTCAGTGTAACTTCACAGTTAATAGTATATCTTTAGTGTGGTTTTACAGTTCAAGAGTATAGCTTTACTTTGGTTTGACAGTAAAGACTACAGCTTTAGTGTAATTTCATAGTTAAGAGTACATCTTCAGTGTAATTTCACAGTTAATAGTACATCTTTAGTGTGGTTTGACAGTTCAAGAGTATAGCTTTAGTTTGGTTTGCCAATCAAGAGTACAGCTTTAGTTTGATTCGACAGTCGAGAGTTCAGCTTTAGTTTGGTTCGACAGTCAAGAGTACAGCTTTAGTGTAGTTTGACAGTGAAGAGTGTACAGCTTTAGTGTAGTTTGACAATCAGTTTGATAGTTTAGTGTGATGAAAATTTCTAGTGATGTTATTTTGGGCATTATTTCATTCCTATTATTTGCTTAACAATGAAGTAGGATTGTTATCCAAGAGTATCTTAAAACTTATTGTTGTTAGAGAGTTCTTTAAATCATTATTAAACTTATAATCTGGTACCCGTATTTAATTGCGAAAATAAAAATTCTATTTCTAATTTGAATTTTAAATGTACAGAAAAATGGTTAATACTCATCACTCTGGTGGCCCAGTGGTAGCTTCAAGATTTTAAACGATAAAAAATCGTAGTTCGACACCCCCGGTGGGCATAGCGGTGATACTGTGTCTGTCTGGATAGGTTGTGAGCGATCTGGGAGGGTGGGGTTCTATTCAGACCTCTTCCTCCCTCCTTTACTATTGTATATTAAGCTGTCAAGTTCTATAATATATTCACGAAATCAGGGCTTGAACAACGTATAAAACATTAATTCTACTTCCTCTTCAGGGCCATGTCCATGATTAGAATGCTTATAGCATTTAGTGCTGTTTCACTACTTCCCTTTATTTGGTCGTTTACACTCATAAACAGTTCCATAGTAAAATGTCACTCGAAGTAGTTACCAGACGTATATTTCACATATAATACACTTTAATACACTTGTGATACCTAATTCTAAGTAATATTTTATGATCTAGTGCAGGTGGACGTTTTGAATGGAGAGAAATACTTAGGAGTATCATCATCATGTACGATATAGCGATGTATTGAGATAAGTGAGTCGTTTTTAAATAGATTTATATCAAAATATTTGAACGAACAGTCAATGAGTCTGTCGTGGATTGGTTTTATATTTGCGTATTTATGCATTAATTTTAGGTTGGTAAAAAACACAGGAATACACTAGAAAATATCATTAAAATTTATAAACAATACATACGACCAGTAGTAGAGTACACCTGTCCTGCTTGGACTAATGTAGCACCAATACATATAAAGAAATTACAATACAAAAATACATAAAAGACATTACTATACAGAATGCGGTAATCACCACAGTATTCAGAGCACTCAGATCAATTAAATTAATATCTTGGTATAGTTTGCTTGTTGCCATATTTTGTTCTTGATTTGATTGATATTATTTTTCCAAGTTAATTTCGAATCATACATTAGTCCAAGAAATTTTGCTGATGTGACGACATATAAAAGTACAGTGTATATTGCAAGTATATTTCGAGAGGGTTTCTAAGCATTTTTTATATTTTGAAAATAGAACTAGGTTAGTTTTTGCAACATTTATTTTTATTCTGTGTTTTTGACAATACTCGACTATTTGATTTAGAACTGGCTATAAGTTTATATAGCTGCGATCGAAGGGGTCGTGGAACTCTTCTATATCGCCACATCGTCTGCGAATTGTGAAATTAGGCTAAAATTAGAATCTTTTAGTGTCATATCGCTTACATACATGATGAAAAGGATAGGGCTAACTACCCCTTCCTGGGGAACACCCGTCTCGGGAGTAAAATACTCTAAGTAGGTTCCATCCACGTTCACTTGACATTTTCTATTATCTAAAAAGTTAGACAACCACGGAATAACACCTGTCGGTAAGTCCATTTGTTTCATTTGATATCTTAAACCATTATGTCATACAGTGTCGAATGTTTTTTCTATATCGAGAACATGGCCAGGTGGTTAGGGCGCTCGACTCGCAATCTGCGGGTCGTGGGTTCGAATCCCCGTCACACCAAACATGCTCGCCCTTTCAGCCATGGGAGCGTTATAATGTGACGATCAATCCCACTATTAGTTGGTAAAAGAGTAGCCCAAGAGTTGGCGGTGGGTGGTGATGACTAGTTGCCCTCTAGTCTTACACTGCTAAATTAGGGACGGCTAGCGCAGATAGCCCTCGTGTAGCTTTGTGCGAAATTCAAAACAAACAAACAAACTATATCGAGAAAACATGCGACAGTTAATTATGATTTCAGTTAATCTAACTAAATGACCTGTTCTTTGTCGAAATTTTCTGAAACCGTTTTGAACTTCAGGTAATCTTGATAATATCTCCAGAAAAGTGGAGAGCCTAACACTAATTATTCTTTCTAAAATTTTGCTATGCAACTAGTCAGACAATTTGGTTAATAACTTCCTGGTTCATTAGTTGGTTTTCCTTCCTGTAGAAACATAATAACATTTGCTTGCTTCAAAGAGGCTGTGATGTAACCAGAGTTGAAGGATGGGTTTGTTTGTTTTGAAATTAAGCACAAAACCACACAATGGGCTATCTGCGTTCTGCCCATCACGGGTATCGAAACCCGGTTTCTAGCGTTGTAAGTCCGCAGACATACCGCTGTACCACTGGGGGGGGGGGCTGAGGGATGGGTTGAATAATGCTGTTAAATGATCAAACAATTCCTGAGTATCCTTTTTCAGGAGAATGGTTTCCATACCATCTTCACCTTAGTTTTTATATGTTTTATAGATATAATTACTTCTATTTTCGTTACTATGTTTGTGATTTTATTTGTATGATCATTATCACGTATTTTTGAATTTAGGAGATTAATTGAAACAGCCGGGAAATTTGGTGTGTAGATGTATTTATTTTGTTTAATGTACTCATTTACTGTGTTAAAAAAAAAGTATGTATCCATTGATTGTGTTCATTGTGTGTTTTAAATGTTTTTCTTAGTTGTTCGCTGAAAATTTCTGCTTTTTGTACGTTTGTATATGCTATTTTATTTTCTTGAGTTAAGGCCGGATAAATTTTTTACGTGTTTTGATTGTTGCCGCCCAATGGCACAGCGGTATGTCTGCAGACTTACAACGCTAGAAACCGGGTTTCGATACCCGTGATGGGCAGAGCGCAGATAGCCCATTGTGTAGTTTTGTGCTTAATTACAAACAAACAAACAAGTTTTGATTGTTAGTGAATCGTTTCAGATGTGTTCAAAATTTATTTGGGTCCGTGTGTTCGTTTAATTGCGAGCAAGTGTCTCAATTGTCTTGTTTTAATAGTTTTATTTCGTTTCGAACTTTGTTCCTTACTGTATTAACCTGAGTTTTGATGTACGGATCTCGAGTATTCATATATTGTCTTCTTAGGTGGTGACGTTCTTTTATCATGTTTATCATTTGTGCGTGTGGTTGTCATTTATTATGAGCTGTGATTGTTTTTGTTTCTGTATTGTCTGTTCTACAGCTTTGGTAAGGCATTCATTAACTGTTTGACAGTAATCATGATTTGTCGTCAATTCTGGTATTAAATGATCTAAGAATTTTGTATATTCTTCCAAGTTTGCTTTTTTATAATTAAATGTTGGTTTTCTTGTAGGTTTATTATGATGGGGTTCGAGATCGTAGACACCTGTTATTGATAAATGATCACTGTCTAAATCAAATACAACATCGAAGTTTGAACATTTGTTACTAACTTATGGTGATTTTAGATCAAAATCCAAGATATCACTAGAATTGTGCGAGAGACTTGTATGTGTAGGAGTCGGGGATGTTCTATTGTATAGTTTTTAAAAGTTACCGTTGTATTCCTTTGCTATGTTATTGCCATTAGTTATATTTTGAAGTAATTCAACCTAGCATAAATTTTCTAAAGTATAATTTGTATAGAAAATGATTAATTTACATGTGTAAATAATTTTAAATTTAAGAGGTGCCTTGAACAGTAAGTCAAAATAATTAAAAACAGGGTTGAAATACTGCAACTTTTCACAAAGGTAATTAAGCATCAGTGAAACGTTAATGTTCCACTGTGTTAACTCAGCATCACCAGTAAAACGTTAATGTTCCACTGTGTTAACTCAGCATCACCAGTAAAACGTTAATGTTCCACTGTGTTAACTCAGCATCACCAGTAAAACGTTAATGTTCCACTGTGTTAACTCAGCATCACCAGTGAAACGTTAATGTTCCACTGTGTTAACTCATCATCACCAGTAAAACGGTGCAGTGTGTTGTTATTTTTAATCCTGTTTTCAGCTTTTCTTCAATTATTTTGGTGTTCAAACAATTATTTATATCATTCCAATACAGTAATCTAAAGGAATAAATTGTTTATCAAGACTTTCTTCAACAAATTACAGTAAATGAAAGAATTTTATTTAAAAAAAAGTACTGATTTACTTTTTTATTAACTAGCGGTAAAAATGAAAACTTTAAAATGCTGCTGTTCAAAATGTAACTTTCCAGTACCGTTGCAATGACATATGATTTGGCTTTCATCACAACATTTTAACTCCAACTGTCCCAACGAGTATTAAAAAGAGAAAAGCTCTTCTACTTACCAAAGTAGAGTAGCTGGAGTTGAATGGGGCCGCAGTACTTGAAGTTGATTTCCTTCTTTCTGACCCTCTGTTGAACAAACATGTTACCTGTTATTTCCTGTATTATCTATTTATTAATAGTATAACATATATACTATCATTAAGTGTAGGAAAAATCTGATATGCACGTAGAGAGGTGGATAACTTTGATTCTGAAATAATATTAATCAAAATTAAAATTATATTTCTAATTGTGTGAAAATGTTGATAAGTTAAAAAAAGAAATCCTGAGACCGGAAACCAGAACGTATAGATAAGAAGGCTAGTGTTCTTAGCATGGGCTCTCCAAGAATACAAATAGTTTCCGCCACTGTTCGTTCAGAAGGATGTCTTATCATCAGTATGATCACCACGCTACGTTGCAGAGTTGTAGTCAGGCGATTAGTGAGTTGATTTTCACCTCTCGATCAAGTCGTAAGCAGTCTATAAATTCCGTTAGCATTTTACATTTTTAATAAAATAAATGAGTAATCATAGGATATTAACATTGGCTGTAAAAGCACATTGTTTTTACTGGATTCTGTAGTTAAATGACAGACACAAACTCTTTTGTTTCGATTAACTACCATGATATAAACAGCTGGTATCATGACGTATACAACTGTTACTCTAATCAAGCGCCAATGAAGCTTAAGGTACTTAGAAACTTGTTGGTAATTTGAATTAAACATAGAAGAAGTATATATAGAAGAATAGTGTTTCAGAAAACGATCAAACATCATATTTTATATCAAACTGAATATTGATTAGCATACTATCAAAAGTCCTTATACAGTTTTAGCTGAATGCTTACCATCAAATTCATCACTGATTTTTAGATAAAAGTTCAAGAACAAACGTGCCTTGGCAACATTATATCAGTTGTAGTCGTCACCTGACCTGCTGATTGGCAAATTCAAGATCGTTTTATCGTAACGTACTCAACCCACTGTATTTCAGTAACCAAACTAAGCATCCTAATTATAATTTTATTTGGTTTCAGGAACACAGTATGTAGAAATGAAAGGATTTTTACACCTGAAGATTAAATTTACATTAAAAGATGTAAATTTCTAAGTCTAATGTTTACGATAGTTTGTTTGTTTTTAATTATGCACAAAGCTACGCAAGGTGTGCTCTGCCCACCACGGGTATCAAAACCCGGTTTCTAGCGTTGTAAGTCCGCAGACATACCGCTGTGCCACTGGGGGACGTTTACGATAGATGGTCCTCCGGTGGGTCAGTGATAAATTTGCTGTCTTTTAACTCAAACATTCAGGATTAGATCTCCACTGTGAACACAGTTCAGAAAGGCTATTGTTTAATTTTACTCTAAAACAAACAACCAAATTATATTAATAATATTCACAATTAATATTATCTTTTATTTTTGCCTTATCATTTGTGTTTTTATTTTCATTTTTAAATGTGCGTAAAAGGGGCGTAATTTCATCAAAACCATAGGGATAGCAAGGCCACCGATAAAAACTTAATCAAAAATAAAACTAACAAATCAATTAGTCAATCATAGTAAATATATTATCATGACCACATGACTTCAAAGAAAACTTTCCGCAAAAAATATATATATAATGCAATATTAAAAATTATAAAGAAAAACTTTTTTATAACTTTCAACTATATTAAACTTATTGTATTTAAAGAAATAAAAATATCGCCAGCAAACACGCAGATATTGATGTCTGTGTAAACCAGATAATCAATAAGGATTCTTGTTGTCCTTTTCCGTTTCCTCTTTAATTTTAATTGTATTTATTACAAATGTAGGATATTTAATTTGCTGTTCACCAAGTTTCAATAACACAACAAAATGGCGCTCTAATTTAAAATACGCATATACTGTCAGTCAACACAACAGTCAAACACTTCCAATTATCTTGTAAAGGCATAAGAACAAAGCTCTAAAGGACTGAAAAAATGTATTTTATGTCACTTAGAAATATCAAGAGACGTGTGAACGGTAGATGTACGATAATTGATATCCAAAACATCAAGAAATCAGTTAAGGCGTCGCCACATAGTGTTCAGAAATGCTAATACACACTGTATTCTGATCCAGCGGTTGTATGCAGTAATTCGGCGTTATAGTTAATCTACCTCTACCAGGAATCAACTAGGACAGGCAACTACAATACAGGGGTTATTAATTATTAACAAACTGTAAGGGTTGCAATAAATTCATAGATTCCTGGCGATCCATAAATGACGCCTATATCCTGTAAATCTATTGGTTCATTCATAAATTTACTATATCTTAATTTTAAGAGTAATAAGCTACAAGGTTATTTTAACCGATTGTAAAAAATATATATATTTTGAATTCCCTTAGTGTATACTTTTGTTGTGATTTTATTTTTTTATCGCCTTTGCTATAACCCCAAGCTTTATTCATTTAGTTATCAATAATATTTGAAATTGGAAAATATTACGTTTTAATGAAAATGGGTAAATCACTCCTATTTTATGCTATAGTTTTTGCTACTTATAGTACAAGCTTATTAAAGAAACCGATTAGAAAAAAATCACAATTATTCTTTGCCCAACCTTGTAGAAAAAGAATGTATAACATAAGAAAAGTAAGCTATATACTCCAGCCTAAGCAACAATTATTCATGGGTACATATTAAAAGACAAACAGTTCTACAAGAATTGGTTACTTCTATTAAAGAAATTCTTCGTGGAATTTTTTTACTCCTTTCGTTAACGAAGTGGATGAAGAAATAAAATTTACTCACTATTACACGCAATTTCAAGACTACATTGCATTTTAAAACTAATGAACTAATGTCCAAACTGGGATTTATGACTTAGCCTTATGTCTACGCTATATAGTAGTGGAACAACTAAATTATGATCTTATGAAATGAAATTATTCTTCGTCTATCATTAGAACAATTTATCTGCCTGATTCAATCTGTTTTCGGTGGATAATAATAATTTAGATTGTGTTAGACATATTGGATATTCAGTTGGCTGGAGGAAATATTGGTAAATATTAATAATTTAGCTTGTGCTAGACATATTGTGTATTCAGTTGACTGGAGGACATATTGGTAGATAATAATCATTTAGATATTTTAGACATATTGGATATTCAGTTGGCTGGAGGACATATTGGTGGATAATGATAATTTAGGTTGTGTTAGACATATTGGTGGATAATAAAATATGTCCTCCAGCCAACTGAATATCCAATATGTCTAACACAATCTAAATTATTATTATCTACCAATATGTCCTCCAGCCAACTGAATATCCAATATGTCTAACACAATCTAAATTATTATTATTTACCAATAGGTCCTCCAGCCAACTGAATATCCAATATGTCTAACACAATCTAAATTATTATTGTCCACCAATATGTCCTCCAATCAACCGAATATCCAATATGTCTAACACAATATAGATTGTTGTTATCCACCAATATGTCCTCCAGCCAAATGAATATCCAATATGTCTAACACAATCTAAATTATTATTATTTACCAATATTTCCTCCAGCCAACTGAATATCCAATATGTCTAACACAATCTAAATTATTATTATCTACCAATATGCCCACCAGCCAACTGAATATCCAATATGTCTAACACAATCTAAATTATTATTATCCACCAATATGTCCTCCAATCAACTGAATATCCAATATGTCTAACACAATCTAAATTATTATTATTATCCACCAATATGTCCTCCAGTCAACTGAATACCCAATATGTCTAGCATAATCTAAATTATTATTATACACCAATATGTCCTCCAATCAACTGAATACCCAATATGTCTAACACAATCTAAATTATTATTATCCACCAATATGTCTTCCAATCAACTTATTCACTATTCAGAATTCAGTCCTATAGATTCAGCAATTATGAGAGTGATTTTTATTGCATTGAGGTCGAATTGTGACTTGTATCATACAATAACTTGTTCTCCCTACGACAATAATTACTAATAAGTAATTTGTAAACTTTTCTAATCTTCACTAAAATTTGTAGTTTCAGCTAAAAAAAAAGAAAGGATCGGTAAATGTCGTTCATGGATCTTTTCATTTCATAGTTGAAATATATAATTTTGGCGAAGAGAAGAAAGTTCACAGTTAATATATCAGTTATTCCATGGAATAATTATGAATAATTTATTATGACAGTATAGTCATATGTTTTACAAATATGTAAAGTATTTTTGGTTATTAGTGATGAGTAAAGGACTTTAAATCAAACCCTAATTGCTTACTTATAAAGTAAATAACTGGTTATTAAAAACCTACGACTGACAAATAGGTTGAGAGACAAGTTCCTAAATTTATTCTTATTTTGGATGGCGATTACTTGATAACATAATCATATCTTTACACATATACACACGCATTAAAAATTATAATAGATTTAACATGAAATAATAAATGAATTAATTATTATATGCTAATTACATTGATTTAATGAAAGTTAGAATTAAATTAGTAAGCTGTAACGGAACATATGCATTGTTACTATAAGAGAAAACAGCATTGTAACTTTTGGTAATATACAAATAGTGTCCCAACTATTTTTTTCGTAGCTTGCAGTGCCAGTGAAGTTTCTCTTTTTCTTTCAATTTTTCTTTTCTTTTTGAAAATAAACAATCGTAGAATATCACTATCCTAATCTACATATCAAAATAATGAAGTTCAGACACTCTTATGTGTATCTGGTAACATTTGCAACATAGCTTTAAGTTTTTCGGTATCGTAAACGTAATCCAATTCCTTTTTGTTTGGAAGATTTGGTAATATTGAAAAATATATCTTACGTTGAATTTTGTTCCATCTTTATATTCTTTCACTGCCAAAGATATTCTGACGTTGACCAAATTATCCAAACGCTTGGTGTTTCTTCACTGTCGAGGTGTAGATATTAACATGAGCCAGAGCCATGATTTTGGGATGGACTGGACACAGCTTCCTATACTAAGTAGACCTCAATTTTGTGTTAGTTTGACGTGTGAAGAATAAGAATTGGTGTGTCTGCTCGGCCATTTCGATTGCAAACACATGGCAATCGCAGTTTGAACATAAATATCTATCGTAAAATCGGAGCGATTTTCGGTATCACTCACTTTTCAAAAATTCTCTTCAGCAAAATTGATGATAACCAACTGCTATGCAGTAAACAGGGAAATGCATAGGTGGTATGTCTTGTGGTGATCTCATTTTTTGCCTCTGATGAAGTTAAAAGTTGCAAATGGAGGGTCAAATTAGCCAAAAAAGCAATAAAATTGCTTCAAAATCAAAAACTAAGTGGTATAAATGAATTGTTCTCACTACTACAGGCCACTTGTAAAAATATAACCTTTGTTTTTGCACAGTAGACGTATCTAGAACAATAATTAAACAAATCTGACATAGGCATGAGGCCCCGTTTTTGGATAATGAATATTTGAAGAAGAATATTGCCAAATTAGTGCGATTCATGAAACTGTTTCATGAATAACTGAAATTTGGCAAAAGTGATTTCTACGTGATCTAGCATGTCAATGAGTAAATCTTTGAAGTTGATAAAACAATTCTGAAACAATTCTGGA